TCTGGGAACTGGGTGTCTTCTGGCCCACTGCCCAGCTCCAGGTCAGCCCACACCCCGTCAGCATGGCTGGGTCAGGCCTTAGCATTGCATGGAGCTCCACACTCAAAGGTCTGACCGTCTTGGTCCATTCCAGATGCTGTAGCAAAACACCATAGACTGGGGCCGGCGCTGTGGCATCGTGGACGAAATCATTTCACCTCTGTGTGCCTCAGTACCTTCATCAGCCTCCTCTTGGGATTTGGGGGAGGCTGTGCATGTAGGGGATCTGGCGTTTGGGGGCACTAAATACATGGAGTGATTACAAGTGAGTCACCAGAAACCAAGACGCTGTGGAAGCAGCGCAAAGCTGCACAGCCAGCTAACAGGAGTGTTCAATGCGGGACCAAATCCCAAGAGCAGAAGTGGAGGCCTGCTCTCCACGAAGCGAGGCCGGAGTTTGGCTCTTGCTAAGTTCTAAATGCACTGACACGGGGCCAGCGCCAGGGCTCATTTGGTTAATCCTCCACCTGTGGCGCTGGCATCCTATATGGGCGCTGGGTTCTAGTCTCGGTCGCTCCTCTTCCAGTCTAGCTCTCTGCTGTGGCCCGGGAGGGCAGTGAAGGATGGCCCAAGTGCTTGGGCGGGCCCCTGCACCCGCATCCTGGGAGACCAGGAAGAAGGTCCTGGCTCCTGGCTTCAGATCAGTGCAGCGCCAGCCATGGTGGCCATTTGGGGAGTGAACCAACGGAAGAAAGACCTTTCTCTCTGTCTTTCTCTCTCACTGTCTATAACTCTACCTGTCAAATAAATAAATAAAAATAATAATAATAAATGCACTGACACCACAGATGTCTCCTTTGTAACACCAGTGGTCAGACACTTGCCTGAGAGTTAGAGAATAACACTGCCTTCATGGGGTTTACACTCCAATAAGGGGGGTGGGGCATCTAAGGACATTGACATGTCAGGCGATGCTAAACGTGACACTTCAAGTCCCAAATTCATGTGTTCTTGGTACCTGGAGGTGGGCCAGGCATGGGGCACTGAGAAGTCACACACAGGAGTGTCAAGGAGAGGGGAGGGACCACCTGCCAAGTTCAGTGATGATCATGTCAGATAAGATGACCTGGCCTCCGCGACCTGGAGGTCACCAGTGACCACTGCACGAGCCACTGGGATGGACTGCTGGGGAGGGGAGGGAGGCAGAGACTTCAGGGGAACAACCCCTTAGAGGAGTCTGTGCATAAGGAACAAGGACCCCGAGCACCCGTGATGCAGGAGCCAGGGAGCCCCTCTACGTCAGGGGACGTTCAGGTTCCTCTTTGACCCCAGGGAGTCTCGTGGAGAATCTAGAAGGAGTTCTTAGGTAACTGTCTTCAGACGTAACCAGCGACTTTGATATGACTTCTTCATTCAGCAACAGTTTGCTGAGTGAGTGCCGGCTCTATGCAAAGCATGGGGCACACTAAGGTGGGGTCTCGTGGGCTTTGCTCTCGGGGGATCATGGCCTTGCGGGGTGGTGGATGTCTCCATGCAGAGCCACTCCAGGGCAACAGGGCAGGCTCCCCTGCACGTCACTTTGTGTCAGCACAGTGCACGCACAAATGAAAGATCCATGGGAGGTGGAATTGTTTCAGTCTTGTCCACCACATACCTAACACTTAGTATCTGTGGGGGAATGCAATAAGGAATGGTACCATTTGAGTTGTGTTTCGAAGGCAGGATAGGATTCAGATTCACACAGACGGGCAGGGGGAGCACTACCAACTGGCAGGGCATAAGTGGGGTACAGGGAGGAGGGAGCGGATGGAAGCGGAACAAGAGGATGGAAGAGCTTTCTCTCTCTCTCTTTCTCTCTCTCTGCCTCTCAGTAACCCTGCCTTTCAAATAAATAAATGAATCTAAGAAAGAAAGAAAGAAAGAAAGAAAGAAAGAAAGAAAGAAAGCAAGCAAGCATCTAAGCCTTTAGCCCATAATTCCACCCCCAGGGATCTCTCCCAAGGGACCTTTTCTAAGCACACAAGAGCTCTCCACATAGACATCCATCCCAGAATGGCATGCCAGGGGTCACGCGTGCACAAAAGGGAGGAGCAAGGACATGTCCGGTCACCAACTCTCAGCCCCATCCCACAGGGACAAAGTCCATACCACATACCACTCGTCACCATGTTGTTTTCCTGTTAAGAAGCTGAGCAAATTGGTATTTTAATTACGATCTATGTGAATTTACTTTGACAGCCCCAACTCCACGTTGGGCTTGTTCTGAAAACACGGGCCGTAACCCAGCCACGTGGCCGACAGTGACCCTTGCCCCACCGACCCCGCCGGCTGACTGCCATGTCGGCCCTGTGTGCTGTGTGCAGGGGGGATGGCGGGCTCTGACTTCGGGGAACTGAGAGAAGTGGGGCTAGGGATCCCAGGGCCTGCTCACATCTCAGACACATCCTGCTGTGACTGCACTCACAGGCGTGCCCCCCAGGGCTCTGCAGGAAGAGGCCCCCCCATCCCGTCCCTCCATTGCTCCACAGACCCGCACTGGTTCCCTCCCAGTGTTCCCTCCCATCTGTGCTTGAGTTATTTTCATACCTACTTTGGCCCACATTTGCTTATATTCCTTTTGCTTATATTTGATTAATAAGAGGATTATTTTTTGTCTTGTCATTTGATGAGAGAATAAAGAGCACACCCTTCTTGAAGAAATTAGATTCCTTGAGACAGAAACAGTCATCAGGGGCCAGCGCTTTGGGGCAGTGGGTTAAGCCGCCAGCCATGACACCGGTGTCCCAAGTCAGAGCACTGATTCATGTCTCAGCTGCTCCGCTTCCCATCCTGCTCCCTGCTAATACACCCGGGAAAGCAGCAGACGGTGGCCCAAGTGCTTGGGCCCCTGCAACACACATGGGAGACCCAAATGGAAATCCAGGCTCCTGGCTTCAGCCTGGCCCAGCCTGGTTGTAGCCATTTGTTGCATCAACTAGCAGATGGAAGATTTCTTTCTCCTTGCACTCCCTGTCACTCTGCCTTTCAAATAAATAAATCTTTAAAAAAAATTGTCAAGGCTGGCATTGTGGCACTAGTAAAGCCAACACCTGCAACTCCAGCATCCCACACAGGTGCTGGTTCAAGTCCCGGCTGCTCTGCTTCCAATACAGCTCCCTGCTAATGCACCTGGGAAAGCAGCAGAGGATGGGCCAAGTGCATGGGCCCCTGCACCCATGTGGGAGACCCAGATGGAGCTCCTGGCTTCTGTTTGTACCTGACCTGACCATGTAGCCATTTGAGTAGTGAACCAGCAGACGCACCATGGCCTTTTGAGTAAATAAATAAATCTTAAAAAATTTTTAAAAGCCTAGACTTAACTCCCAAACCTTTTTTAATATTTTATTTATTTATTTATTCGAAAAGGAGAGTTACAGAGAGGCAGAGGCAAAGAGAGAGAGATCTTCCATCAGATGGTTCACTCTCCAAATGGCTGCAATGGTTGGAGCTGGGCCCATCTGAAGCCAGGAGCCAGGAGCTTCTTCCGGGTCTCCCACAAGGGTGCAGGGGCCCAAGCACTTGGGCCATCTTCTACTGCTTTCACAGGCCATAACAGAGAGCTGGATCAGAAATGGAGCAGCCAGAACTTGAACTAGCGCCCATAAGGGATGCCGGCACTGTAGATGGTGGCTTTACCCACTGTGCCACAGCGCCAGCCCCCTTCCCAGAATTTAAACAGTGATGATCTGTGAGTGGCAGAAATACTGGTGGGCTTTCTCCTGTTTGTTTGTTTTTTTTTTTTTCATTTTATGTGTGTATATATTTCATATTTCTAAGGGTGACTGTTTTTTGAATGGGAAGACTGAGTCAATTTTGTTTCTTTTTATTTTTTAAGATTTATTTATTTTATTTGAAATTCAGAGTTACAGAGAGAGAGGAGAGGCAGAGAGAGAGAGAGGTCTTCCATCCGATGGTTCACACCCCAAATGGCCGCAACAGCTGGAGCTGGGCTGATCCGAAGCCAGGAGCCAGTAGCTTCTTCTGGGTCTCCCACAAGGGTGCAGGGGCCCAAGGACTTGGGCCATCTTCCACTGCCTTCACAGGCCATAGCAGAGAGCTGGGCAGAAAGTGGAGCATCCGGGTCTCGAACTGGCACCCATATGGGATGCCAGCGCTTCAGGCCAGGGCCTTAACCCACTGCACCACGGCGTCGGCCCCCGATTTTGTTTCTTACACAAAAGCCTCAGGCGGGCAGGATTCAACCCCCACCACCAGGATTCAGCAAGGCTGTGCAGCCTCTGCGGGCTGCTGTCCAGCCTTTGCAGGCTGAGCCTCTGACCCCAGCCTCTGACCACAGCTGCTGGCAAACAGGCCGTCCCACCACCGCTGGCAGAGGGTGCGTTGGCTGGGCTGGAGACAGCGTCTGTGGGAGCTCAGGAGAGATACTGAGAGGTGTCGGCTCTCCCTGGAGCAGCTCCCGGAAATCGAAGTGGCTGTCAGAAATCCTTCCCGGGGCAGGCCCTGGGCCTCGTAGTTACCATGCCTCTTGGGAGGCCCACATTCCATATCAGAGTGCCCAGGTTCAAGTGCCAGCTCTCTCCCGACTCCAGCCTCCTGCTGAGGCACACTCAGGGCTGGGGTTGGGGGGCGGGGGGCAGCAGCAAGTGATGGCCTCAGCAGCTGGGTCCCTGCCATCCGTACGGAAGACCTGGTTTGGGTGCCCGGCTCCTGGCTTCAGCCTGGCCCAGCTCGTTGTTGCAGGCATCTGGGGAATGAACCAGCAGCAGATGGAAGATCTCTCTCTCTCTCTCTCTCTCTCTCTCTCTCTCTCCCCCCTCTCTTCTCTCTCCTCTCTCCTCCCTCCCTCCCTCTCTCTCTCTCTCTGTCTCCCCCTCTCCTCTCTTTCTCTCTCTCTCCCTCTGTCTGTCTCTCTGTTTCTCTCTACCTCTCTCTCTCCCCCTCCTCTCTTTCTCTCTTCTCTCCTCCCTCTCTCTGCCTTTAAGAAAGAAAAATAAATAAAAATTAAAAGCTAAAGCAGAATCTTTCCAGCAAGATGGAAAACTGTTGACAAAACAACTTTACATGAAACAGAGCAGAATACAAAAGGGCACGCTCACGCCGAGCAACCATGCGTACAAGGCACTTGGCACATATTTGTTGGAGGAATGAAAAGGCTTCAAAAGAAACACCCACGGACGATCAGAGACGAGACAGACGCCAAAGCTGGGCGCCCCATTCCAGCAACAGCAAACTTGAAAGACATCTCCGGAATGAGTTTTCCAAAAGCTCCACTCTGCATCTCAGGATGGGTGTCTACAGGTGCCTCCCAGGGACGCTAGGCTTCGGTCTCCCGGGATTGTGAACATGTGTCCAGTTAACCCAGGATCTTGATAAACGCAGGTTTTTCTTCAGTGGCTCTGGGGTGGCTTTGCATATCAAACAGGCTCCAGGCGGTGCTGGGGCCGCTGGTCTTCTGACCACACTTTGGGTGGCAAGTTCTTAGGGTGCTGGGTCACCAAGCAACCAGACGGTCTCAGCCCAGCCATGCAGGAGGGCGGTGTCAGCCTGAGAAAGGTGTGCAGAAGACACCTGCCCACCAGTCCAATTCCTGACACCACGCCCCTTCACCAGAGAGAGGCCCAGCCTGTCCCGGAGCCTGCCAGGACCACAAGGCATCCTTGTCCCCAGGCCCCTTGGCACCGCTGAGACTGACCACACTCCAGGTGCTGAGGGCCCTCCTTTTCGTGGGGAGCTTGGGGAGCTTGGGCAGTGACATGAAGTTGGGATGGCCCCCAGGGTCTGAGCTTTGATGGCAGCTGGCAGCAGACAGCACCAAAGGACAAACACAAGCTATGCCCACGAGGGTGGCTCAAGAAATCCAGGATACGAGTGAGGAAAGCAACAAAAACAAACGGGATAGGTGATGAAAAGACAGGACAGGAAGAGAGCTGATGGCTCAAGGTGCACTTGTCTCGGCTGCCACTCATGCAGGTTCATGGTCACAGGCCAGGCCTGTGGCCAGGCACTCCCCTGCTGCTGGCCCCTGGGCCAGATGTCCTGTGCAGAGAGCCAGTGCTGGGGACCTCATGGTGAGGTCTCTAGCACCCAAATACCCTGTGCTGGGAGACCCCAGTGGGTCCTGCCACTGTCCACTCTGCTGGGGATGGGTCTTCCCACTCAACATGGTCTGGGAGCCATACTGCCATTTCCTTCCTTGCAAGGACAAGCTTTCTGGTCCCTGCCCAGAAGCAGCTCTGGACCTGTTTCAGCATCGAGGGGCCTGGGCCATGGCCCCCATGGGTGAGGCAGGCACACTCGCTGCATGTCCTCTGCTCCTTTCAGCCAGGGCCCTGTGGAGTCAGAGGCCCAGCCCTCCCTGCCCCTGCTCACATCAAAGGCCACGGGGATGCCCAGTGTCCTGGGGAAGCTTGGGGGCAATCATGGCACGTCCCCTGGGGCAAGTCAGCTCAGCGGTCAGAGCACGGCTGAAGGAGGCTATGGTCCCTGCCCACGTCCTGTAGGCTTCTACAGGGGGTCAACACTGGGGAGGGCCACAGAGTCTCAGGTAGGGCAGGTGAGAGCTTACACGTGCCTGGGATTGTCCTCACTGTAGAGTGTCCGACGCCTTTACCCCCGACCGCCTCAGGAAACCTTGCTCATCCCTCTCTGTGTGTGCCGGGCGGGGCCTGTCCTAGGCATGGAGGCCACAAGCTGTAGACAGGACAGATGTCACCCTCAAGGTGTCACGGTCTCCTGGAGGCATAGACTTATTTCTGGTGGCAACAGAGAAGGAGGAGGATGGAGCGGGAGGAGAATTCCAGCATCGGCATGAGGCCCCGGGCTCAGCAGGAGCTGGGCTCGCCAGCCAGAAGTGCAGGTGCCACCACCCTGCAGCTCTCTGCCACTCCTACCAAGCCCGCATGACCACATCGTGTCCCAGAGAGGTCAGGAGGTGGCCAAGGTCCAGAGCCCTGACTCCGAGCGCTCCCTCCCGCACCCCCGTAGCGGCCGCTTGCACTCCCTGGGGGCGGGGGAGGGGGGCTCCCAGGCCAGGCCTCTGTTGCTGAGCTACCAAGACAAACTCTGCCCGGTACAAGCAGACACCTCCGGCTCTGGCACCGCACAGCTCCAGCTGCAAGGCTCACTGTGACCTACAGCATCTGGACTTGGAACCCGTCCAGAAACAAGTGGCGGGTCCACCCAAAGGGCAGGCTCCCCATGCAACTGGATGCAAACACAGGCCCTTGCCAGCCCCTCTGGGCCCCGCCCCCAGGAAGCCAAGACTCTTGGGGTACCGCCTCCAGCTTGCAGCAAGCCCACTCAGCTTAAGCACAAGGGCCCGGCAAAGGTCATGGCTAAATTGGGTTGGCCCTGCCACTGAGCCTCAGAGAGCCCTTGGAGACTTCCGTGTGCACTGTGGACAGCGGCAGGCGCTCAGACTCCTCCCGGGGGGCTCTCTGCTGGCAGCTCAGCACCAGCGCCTTGACCTCCTTCTTGAAGTTGGTGTTGAGGAAGCCATAGATAAAAGGGTTGACGCAGGTGGAGGCCATGGCCAGCAGGTGGCACACCAGGAAGATGAGGTTGCCATGGCAGACGGGGATGGCCTCGTGGTACCAGTCCTCCAGGCTGTTGAACACGTGCAAGGGCAGCCAGAGCACAGCAAAGGCGACCACCATGGCCAGCAGCACCACGTTGACCCGCTTCACCCGCCCGCCTCGCATGCTGTGGGCGCCCTTGCGGAACGCACGCCCCTGCCTGCGCAGGCGCCGGTAGATACGCACATAGCAGACCAGGATGAAGACCAGCGGGAGGCAGTACTGGAAGAGCAGCAGGAAGGTGGTGTAGATCATGCGGTGGTGGTCCAGCGGCCAGGACTCGGTGCACACCAGCTTGTCCGCCAGGAACTCCAGCGCCTTGGAGTGGTTCCTCTGGAACACGTTGTCCAGGATGCTATGGGCCAGGAAGGGCAGGGAGAGGAAGGTGGCGATGACCCAGATGCCCACAATCCCCAGGTAGGCCTGGGAGATGCTGGGCCTCCAGCCCGTCGGGTTGACGATGAGCTGATGCCGCTCCAGGGCGACGAGCACCAGCGACAGGATGGAGACGGTGACCGACGTGCACTGGGTGAAAGCCGACATCTTGCAGAGGGCCTCGCCGAAGATCCAGTAGTCCATGATGGTGTAGACGACGGTGAGCGGCTGGCAGAGCAGGCACATGAGGAAGTCGGAGAAGGCCAGGTTGGCGATGAGCACGTTGGTCACATTGGTCTTGTCCTTCTGCCGCAGGGTCACCCAGAGCAGACAGAGGTTACCCAGCACCCCCACGACGGTCTCGAGGCCGTAGGAGGTGATGAGCAAGGCCGTGGGGTCCACAGAATCCTGGCAGTGGTTGGTGAAGTTGAAAAGGATGTCCCTGAGCCTGCTCCTGTTCTCACCGGGGGTGGACCCTGGGGGCAGTGAGGCCAGGAAGTGAGAGGCGTTCATGGCGGGTGTGACAAGGGGCACACTCAGAGAGGACACCTGCAAGGCAGAGAAACAGCAAACAAGGCTCAGGGCTTGTGCCTCCGGGGAGGAACCTGGGGAGTGTGCTGAGTGAGGCCAGGCAGACAGGTGGCTGGCTGCTTCCATCCCGAGGGCGTCGCCTGGAGGAGCTCTCACTAAGGGCTCAAGGTATCCAACCACCGCTAGGCTGAAAGAGGCACTCTGCACGCCAGACACCGTGCTTGGTCATTTGCAGATATTCCCTAGTTTATTCTGAGAAAGAGGCCTGTCAGCCCCTTGTACAGAGGAGGAACCAGAGCCTTAAAAAGGCAACTTGCCCACAGTCACACAGCCCCTAAGTACCAGGGTCCCACTACCTGACCCCAGAACTCGTCCCCCACACCCCCTCTGCCTCCAGGTTCTAGACTGCTCTGCACATAACAGTAATGTAAATTTAAAACATTATCTCACAATTAAAAAAAATTCGCATTCAGGGGCCGGTCCTCTGGCGTAGCGGATAAAGCCTCGGCCTGAAGTGCCAGCATCCCTTATAGGCTCCAGTTTGAGTCCTGGCTGCTCCTCTTCCAACCCAGCTCTCTGCTATGGCCTGGGAAAGCAGTAGAAGATGGCCCAAGTGCTTGGGCCCCTGCACCCATGTGGGAGACCTGGAAGAAGCTCCTGGCAGAACCAGCAGATGGAAGACCTCTTTCTCCCTCTCTCCCTCTCTCCCTCTCTCTCTCCCCCTCTCTGTTTCTGACTCTCAAATAAATACATAAATCTTTTTTTAAAAAATTAACATTCAATGAGCAGACGAATACAAGCTGCAGGTATCATATGCAGAGGTTCAGAGGCAGAACTGTTCAGGGAGCACATTTTATCCAGGCAGAGATGGCACTGAACGCCTCTGTGCAGGGCCCTGTGCAGGTCCTCCCATAGCACACAGGACACGACCGAAACCCTGCGGCTCAGCCATCCTGGTCTACCAGCCCTGTCTCCTGCACGACTTGTAGCAAAGGTGAAGACGACCAGGCATGCACAGTCGACTTCATCAGCACCCGGCTTCCCCCTCCTGCCCACCTTGTACACACAGCCGTGTAACCAAAGCGGCAGGATGTCCACCACAAGCTCTCCGTGGAACCCACTCCCCTAGGCTGTGCTGCTCCCCCACACCCTGGCACAGTCCACTCCCTCCCCTGCAGCCTCCTCAGCACCAGGGTCCCCCACCCCCCCATTCACCACCTCCCACCCCCTCACCCCCACCTTCAGAGACTCCAGGTGGCAATGATAATGACAGCTACTAGGAAATAAAGAGGCACCCAATGGGCCAGCATGCTGCTGCCTGCAACACTGGCATCCCATAGGAGCATCAGTTCAAGTCCCGGCTGCTCCACTTCTGATCCAGCTCCCTGCTAATGCACCTGGGAAAGCAGCAGAGGATGACCCAAGTGCTTGGGCCCCTGCCACCCACCTAGGAGACCCAGATGGAGTTCCTGGCTCCTGGCTTCAGTCTGGACCAATCCCAACTATTGTGACCACTTGAGGAGTGAACCAGTGGATGGAGGATTCTCTCTCCCCACCCCCTCTGTAATTTTGCCTTTCAAATACATAAGCAAATCTTAGAAGAAAATTAAAAAAAAAAAAAAGAGCCAACCTTGGGGCTGGTGCTGTGGTGCAGCGGGTTAAAGCCCTGGCCTGCAGTGCCGGCATCCCATATGGGTGCCGGTTCTAATCCCAGCTGCTCCTCTTCCGACCCAGCTCTCTGCTATGGCCTGGGAAAGCAATGGAAGATGGCCCAAGTCCTTGGGCCCTGCACCCGCGTGGGAGACCCGAAGGAAGTTCCTGGTTCCTAGCTTCAGATCAGCACAGCTCTGGCTGTTGTGGCCATCTGGGGAGTGAACTAGCAGATGAAAGACCTCTCTCTCTCTCTCTCTCTACTTCTCTCTGTAACTCTTTCAAATAAATAAAATAAATCTTAAAAAAAAAAAAAAAGAGAGAGAGCCACCCTATGGTGCCACCATTACTGTGCCTGGCCATTAGTCCCACGAGGTCGCGACTCTCAAGCTTCAGTAAACACCAGAACCATTCTGGAAGCATGTGGAAAGTGCAGATCCCAGGCGCCCCACCCCCCACCCCCCCAGCAGACGCAGTGAAGTGCCTCCAAGGTGGGGCCCAGGAATCCGTATTTGAACGTGATTCTTGAGAAACATTGCTCATATACAAACACCCTAGCTGGAATCTTCCCCAAGCCCCGCGGAACAACCAGGCCTGGTTTTGGACACAGGCGTCTTCTTCCTGATCAAGTGCCACGTGGAAGGCAGTTTTACAGAGTGCGAGCCGCACTACCCAGGGGACAGTAAAATCTGTCAGCTGTTGTGTCACTCATGGTGCACAGGATCCACCTTGTGAAGGTGAGGCTCACCTGGCCATTTATAAGACCTTGTCACGCACCTGCTCTCACTCAGCCGCCAGATCCCCATCCTTGTGCCATAGCACTCTGCTGGCAAAAACGGCTGTGTGGGGCTGAACACGATGCCGTGAACCACACCAGGGCCAAACACAAGGGCCAGGACTTGCAAAAATTGGCTGCAGCTGCCTGAACCTGTGGCAGATGCACTGGTCTCAGATCTAGCAGAGGGGATGAAAGCCAAGGCTTTGGCTGCCCACCGGCCAGGGCTACCTCGACAGCACCAGCAGTTCCAGCTGCAGTACAATCAGAGCGAAGGGACCGGGCAGGAGGACTCCATAAAGCGCTCACTTCTTCCTTAAACCATTCGCTCAGCAAACGTGTGCCAGGTCTCCAAGTGGCAAGTTAGGGACAAGGGGGGCAGAGATGACCTACACAGCCATGGTCCTCCCAGACCAGAGACACTGACCACCAAGAAGGCAGATGGACCTCGAAGCCACAAATCCATGTGTGAGTAGGATGCCCGGGAGCTAGAACATTAGAGAAGGAGCGGGAAGCAGAGGAAATGAGAGAGGAGCTGAAACTGACCTGGGCCCAAAGGCTGAACAGGAATCAGTCACGCAAAAGGACAAGGGAGAGGAGGGAACTCAGCATACAGCGAACAGCAGGTGCAAGGGCACAGAGGCAGGAAACAGCAGAGCCTCCTGGGAGTAGCAAGCAGTTCCAAATAACAGGAGAGCCAGGGTGACGTCACTGGTTCAAGTCCCTGCTGCTCCACTTCCTATCCAGCTCCCTGCTAATGGTCTGGGAAGGCAGTGGATGATGGCCCAAGTGTTTGGACCCCTGCAACCACGTGGGAGACCCAGAAGAGTCTCCAGGCTCCTGGCACAGGCCTGGCCATTGAGGCCATTTGAGGAGTGAACCAGTGGATGGAAGATCTCTCTCTCCTATATCTTGGTAACTTTGCCTTGCAAATAAATAAATAAATCTTGAAAGAAAGAAAAAAAAGGTGAGACAGGGAAGGTGGGCCAGACCAGGGACACTGGGGAAGCCACTGAAAGGTGGCCAACAAGCTCAAGTCTGGAGCAGTCACTTGGACATAGAAAATGGGTGGGGGAGGGGCCCAGACAGGAGGAAGGGCTATGAAGAAGGCACATGGGGGTCTACCTGGCTTGCATGCCCTTCTGAGAACCAGGAGAGATGGCCCCCAATGGGCCAGGATCCCCCCACAGCGACAGCGTTGACTCTCTGGGTACCTGTGTCCCCATCAGCCCTCCAGCAGCCTCTGGGACTGGGAGAACGCTGGGAGTGGGAGGGCAGAAGGAGGTTGTTGGGATGGGGTGGGGTGTGGGGAGGGGAGATGCAGAACACCCAGGGGGCCTCCTTCCCCAGAGCCACAGAGGCTTGACGAGGTCAGCCCAGAGCCAGCTCCACAAGCCCCTGCCCAAGGAGGGCCCCCAGTGCACAGGCACCGAGGAGTTCCGGAAGCAAACTACAAGGATGAGGAGGTAGCCAATCATGTCCCGAGCCGTAGAGCAGCAGGAAAGCTGGGTCCCGGTGCCAGAGCATGCTGGGCAGATAGGCGACCCCGGAGACAGGACCCAGGTGCCACCAGGCCTGTGGGTGGCCCAGCCGTGGCTCTGCCTGGGCTGGAGGGAGGCCGTGGCTGCAGGGGGCAGGTCATCTTGCAGCTGGGGGGGGGGCTTTCACCCAACGTCACCTGAGGGTCTCTGATGGTCAGGAATAGGATCCCCTGTCACACAGATAGCATCTCCATGGGTGTGCCTGTCCTGGGTTCAGATCCCTACTCTGCCAGCCACCAGCAAAGCCACTGGCCCTTGCGGAGCCGCATGTGCCTCCGATGCACAGGAGGGAAAGGTGAGGAGCGCCCACCCCTCCAGGCCTGGTTCCGCCCACCCCAGGGCCGTGTGACAGGCAGGACCTCACTGCTTCACTCGCTGGAGCTCTTTCAGCCTCAGCCTCCATCTCAGTCCTGCCCAACCCCCAGGGTGACCACGCTGTCCATTCCGCAGGGAGGCCAGCGTGGTACACAGTGGGTGCTCACTGCACAGTAGCTCCCTTGTCCTAATCCCACCCTAAGGGACCTTGTCTCCCACACCAGGAATGGCCACAGCTGTCCCGCTGCATACGCCCAGGCCCCAGAGTCCACCCAATACACCTCTCCCAAGAGGAAGCCCCCAGGGAAGGCTGGGGACCTGCTCTGCTCATCCCCCCTCCCCCCCCACCAGGTGCCGGCCTCAGAAGAGCAGCGCCCTGCTGCCCTATCTGAGCTCCAGCAGCAGGGACCTACACATCTCCCACCACGCCGAGCTCAGGGCCAAGGACAGAGCCAGCGTCAGCCGGCCATCAGCCTGGGGCCACTCAGGACAGCTGACCCCACCCACACTGTCCCATCCGAAGCCAAGACCCCAGGATGCTGAGCGACACAGACAGCAGGGAGAAGGCAGTGGCAGCAGCACGCAGAGATCTCTCTCTTCTGAGCCAAGCCCAGAAGCCCATCCAGAGTGTGCCCAGGCCCACTGAGTCTGCACCCCCCCGGGGGAGATAGAGCCCATGGGAGTCAGAGGAGCAGAGAGGGGGGCGTCTGGAAGGGCAGACAGGAGAGGGACAGCCGGGGGGCCAGCTGCATGCCAGGGATAGGAGCTAGAAATGGACATCCCAGGGGCGCTGGCAAAGCCTGGCCCAGCCCACTCCTGGAGCCCAGGGCCCGGTGAGCTCCTGGTGGTGCCCGGATGAGGCTCAGCCAGAGGAGAGGGTATCCCAGATGCCCTGGGGCCCCTGTGGTCGGGTGGAGCAGCAGCCAGACCAAAGCCCACTGCCCTGTAGCTCCTGCACACCGGCTCAGAATCCCACCTCCATGCAGGCAGCCTGGGTCTCCAGCCCCACATCCTCCCAAGCAGACCTGGGATCAGGGCTCCCACGGTTAGGTGCCGCTGCATCCCAGCTGTTTGGAGCCTCGGAGCCCCCAGCTTGGCAGAGGAGAGAGCACAGCTTCCAGGGGCACAGAGAGACATGGGCTTGAAGGGCTGGGAAGGCACGGGTGCCTGCACCTCCACAGGACCCTGCCGGTCCTGCCTGCCCCCTCCCTTCCCCTTGCAGATTCTAGTTAGGACCCTAGTTATCACCTCCAGTGATGCCACCTGGGCTGGGGGCTCCCTGACCAGGGCAGCCCAAGGGACCTCAGGCCCTCCAGGCATAGGCAGGGGATGAGCACACAAGCTCAGGAGGTTGTAGTTCCCGGCAGCTCTGCAGGACCAGCTGCATCCCCCCCAACCCCATCCCACCCACCGAGACCCCCAGGAGCCTCCCCAGCGCCAGCCTGCCCCCTCAGGCAGAGGAAACCAAGGGACAGTGAGGATTGCAGTCTCCCAGGGAGGGAAGGATGGGTGCTGGGTTTGCGTGGTCTCCAGGAACCTCAGCAAGCAGCTACTCTGTCCCACTGCCCATGGCACCGGGACCTGGGGCGCTCCCCCTACCTGCTCCGGTCGCAGCCGCGTGTCTGATGAGAGGCTGGGTCCCCGCCGTGCAGGACGCGCCCCAGCCCGGCTGTGCGGCCCTGAGCCCCGGCTCCAGACAGCTACCCGGGGACAAGGCAGCGCGCTCGGCTTCCGGAGGGTCCGAGGCCCGCCCTCTCTGTTCCCGCGCCCCCCGACGCGATCCTAACCCGCAAGGCCACAGCGGGCGCTTGCGGGGCGGCGCGAGCCTCACCTGCTCCCGCGGCCGCGGCACCGTCTGCGGGTGGAGCAGAGCCGGGGCAGCCGCCCGCGCTCGCTCCCGCCCCCGAGGACGCTCTGCACTGAGCGCTCCGCGTCCCTGAGTGCAATCCCACGGCCGGATCTCTCCACGCCCATTCCAGCCCTGCACGACCACAGGCTGGAGCCGCGCGGAGGGCGCGCGCTCTGCCGCTCTCCGCCTCCCTCTCTCTGCCGCCCCCCGCCCCCCGCAGTCTCAGTCTCCTCATCCAGGAAATGGGCATAGGAGGGCCTGGGCTTCCTAAACTAGCTCACCAGAGTTAACTGAAGATCTGCTGTGAGCGCAGGGCGCAGCAAGACAGAATCCCCGACCTCGTGCCCCAGACAAGGGACGAGCCAGCAAGGAAATAAGTTCTCCCAGAGTGAGATGCTGTGGGGAAACCGGTCCACCTCATAGGAGGGTGCTCCAGACAGAGGGCACAGAAAGAGCCGAAGCCCTGGGACCGGAGGCCCTGGGCCAGAGAGTGCCCGCCATGGGAAGGAGACGGGCTGGCGGCGGTGCAAAGGGCCCTGCAGGTCCTGGTTCCAAACTGTGACCCCGGGGGTCAACTGAGAATGATCATTTTGTCATTGGCGCCCAAGTGACACAGGACTCCGTGTTCCCCACAAGGGCTGCTCCGGTCACCAATACACAACTTCTGATTTCCTCCACCAGGGGGCCACATGGGACAGTCACAGGCAAGCGGCCTCCTCACTGGGCCGGCGCTGCTCCAAGGCACCTCCGAAATAGGGGACAGGCACAGCTCCCGGATGAAGCCTAACACGCCACCTGCCCCATGGAAGTGACCTCCTGGAGCTGTGGAAGGGACACTGCTGTTTATCTCGCAGGTAGACTCCACAGTCCTTAGCTGACTTAATCACCACGTGGGCTCCAGGCAGTGGGCATTTTTATTCCTGTCTTACTGACGAGCCAAAGTGATTGAGCCACAGGCTTGAAGGCACTCAGCCGAGACACAGCCAGAGCCGGGGTGCTCGCTGGCCACGGGCTTGCACCTAACGCCGTCTCTCCCTTCCGGCCCACTCTGCCCGACTGCCTGGAAAGTGTTGTCTCCTCCTCTTCCACACTCGGCCAGCACGGCCCCCTGCCGCGATGCAGTGTCCCCCTCTGCCACAGAGGCAGGTAGCACAGTCTGGTTGGAAGTTCGCCCAGGGACCCTTGTCTGCCGAGTCCTTGGCTCAGAGAGGGCACGGTTCCGGTCTCTGTCCCCAGAGCCCAGAGGCAGCAGCTGGGAAAGGAAGGAATACTTTTAATAGGGCCTTATTGTGATGGAGGCTTCCCACAGTGTAGTCAGCAGTAAATCTCTGGGGTCGGCACTGTGGCATAGTGGATAAAGCCGCCACCTGCAGTGCCGGCATCCCATACAGGCACCGGTTCAAGTCCCGGCTGCTCCACTTCCGATCCAGCTCTCTGCTGTGGCCTAGGAAAGCAGTGGAAGATGGCCCAAGTCCTTGAGCCCCTGAACCCGCGTGGGAGACCCAGAAGAAGCTCCTGGCTCCTGGCTTTGGATTGGCCCAGCTCCAGCCATTGCGGCCAACTGGGGAGTGAACCATTGGATGGAAGACCTCTCTCTCTCTCTCTCTCTCTCTCTCTCTCTCTCCCTCTCCTCTCTCTGTGTAACTTGACTGTCAAAAAAAAACTTTAAAAAAAGAAGAAGAAGAAAGAAAGAAATCTCCCTGTTCAGAACCTGCTCAGCTCCAACAGGAAGTTCCGTGGACACCTGTCCTCTGTGTAGGCGGGCAGGGGCTCACACGCCATTATCTCCTTCCAAAGAGGCAGCTGTGTGCCCATGGTTTCTAAGGCCTTGCTGGGAAACTCTGGGAGCCAGGCGTCTACTGGCGAGCTCAAGAGCTAAGCCTCAACCCCTGTGGGTCAGAGAACAGCCAAAGAGCCGAGAAGCCACTAACAGCTCCCATCAAGGCAGAATCACCTGCTCTGATTCCATCCGCATGCCTCCCTGGTAACCTGAGATCATCCCCTTTCACAGGTGGGAAAGCTGAGTCTTGGAGACATGAAATGATAGGTCTCAGATACACAACTTGTAGCTGGTGGGGCTGAGATTTGAACCTCAAGTTGGAGCTCCTTCTCTGGGGCAGAATTTACCCTGAGAAGGGCAGGTGGCTCCTTGTAGGGGACATTCCTGGTTTAACCAGCAAGCCCAGAGCCGGTTGCCAAACCCTTTGCCTCTGCTGAGGAGGAGAACAGGGCCTGCTGGCGGCCTGGATCCCTGTACCCAGCAGGAGCTCATGCAGCTGTCCAGGAAAGCAGAGCCCACCAGCCAGCAACTGGGAGCTGGCTTTCCCCACTAAACTAAACTTCCCCAGGGCCACCCTCCCCATGTGCAGGGCTCTGCCGGCCCACCAGGCTGCATCTGAGATCTCCAGGGAAGTCCTGGCGGCATTTCCCTTCTACCATAAAAGAGCTGGCTTGTCTAACTGGTACTCAACCCTGAACTTGCCCTGTCAATCACTGCGGAGTCCTAAGCGTCGCCCTCGATGGCTGCACTGGTAGAGCGCTTCTGGATCCGTGATCTCCCTTTGACCTCTCAGTTCACAGCGAGGTCAGTATGTTCCTTGGCCTGATGAGGGGGCTGAGGGTCGGGCAGACAAGGGTGGACCACTGACTCCCCTTGCTGGAAGTTTGCTAGGTTTTGGAATCGGGCCCCATGCCCATTCCTTTGCCCCCTCTGGGAGGTCACAAGCTGAGTGGGGAAGCCACCTTGCTGAGCCTCAGGTTCTCATCTGCAAAGTGGAGCTAAACTAAAACCCCCCTGCAGGGCTGCTGGGAGGAGACACAAGGTGAAGCACAAATGGCTCTTGGCTGTCAGCACAGTCGGCGGCAGGAAACCTATCTGCAGAGCCCTGCCTGCTGCTATCATACCCAGGTCTTGGGTGCTTGTCTCCCTGCCTGGGCTTCTGCCCCCAAACCAACAAGCAATCCCTATCACGTCTGGTTCAAAACCTCTCCATCCCCACGTCGTGACCCCCAGCTCTTACCTGGATTAGTCCAGCACCAGCCTGAGAGGCCTTACGAGCTCAGCAGCGGTGAGCCTCTCCTGTGAGTTCAATAGTCTCTCCTTCAGCTCTGCTGGTGCTGCCTGCCACAGACTCAGTGTCCACGTAGACCCCTCCTGCTTGGGGAATATCACTGAAGGTCACGTACCCAGCAGCCTGCGGATGAGCCCAGGTGGCTCGTTTTCTCCTTTCATTCATCCTTGGAGACTCAGCCCCTACAACAAGGTTTCCGGGAAACAGCTCTTGCCCCCTCTCAATGTGCTTATTCTAAAGGGAAGCTGCCAGGCACGGCCCAGGTGCATGAAGTTCCCGGGCAACTGACCTGCCTATCACCTGGAAGACTGATAACAGAGGAAAGCCCCTTGCACAGTTCCCGTTCCTATGAACAGAGAACCAGAAATCCCCCTGCGTTTAGAGAATCGACAGCCCAAAGGATAGAGGGCAAGATGAAGAAACACCAACTGACCCCCAAAGAAATCAGAATAGCTCAGGGAATTGGGAAGAATTTGAGGGGCTGGCGCTGTGGCATGGTGGGTAAAGTCTCCACTGTGATGCCAGCATCCCATGTGGGCACTGGTTCAGGTCCCAGCTGCTCCACTTCCCATCCAGTTTCCTGTTAATGTACCTAGGAAGGCAGTGGAGGATGGCCCAACTGCTTGGACCCCTGCAACCACTGGGAACCCCGTGGCTCCTGGCTTCAGAATGGCCCAGCTCTGGTCATTGCAGCCATTGGGGAGTGAGCCAGTGGATGGAAGACCTCTCTGTAAACTCTGCCTTTCAAAAAAATAAAATATTAAAAAAAAAACTTGAAGAGATCAAAAACGTTCCCTTAACCCCTGAAGTAGAGAAGTTACTAAGCCCACACTGGAAAAGCAGACTGCCCGTGAAGTGACCGAGACCAAGAAGGCAAGAAGGGATCCTTGAGAGTTAAACATATGGCTGCCAAAATTCAGACACACTTCCTGAGAAGGGATGAGAGAACAAGGGGAGGAAATGCCCCCTCCTGAATGACGAAACCACTGAAAGATGAAACCCTCGGAGCAAACCCCAGAGACTAGAGGACGTAGAGGAGTCATCCTCTGATAGCTGACATTCCCGGGAGGGGAGAGGCAAGGTCAGTGTCAGCAAGGGACAGAGAACCAAGGGACTGCAGGGGAGGGAACTCACCAGGTGTGGGCCGGTGCTGGCGCACTCCCCAGCTGAAGGAACAGGAGACGGCAGTGGTACCCCCGGGCTTTGCCCCCAACACCAGACTCAGCAGCGACACAGGGGCAAGCAGCCAAGGCAGAGGCCAGCCTCTCTCTCCTTCCACTCCCCGTCTCCCGGGGCTCCCTCCCACTGACGGACCCAGCCAGAACCCTGCCCCTGCGGAGCCAGCAGCCGCCGTGGTGCATCTGGGTGCAGCGCCAATGAAGTGCAGTGGGCCCTGAGCCACGGGGGACGCTTCCAGCACCCTCAGAGGATTCCAGAAACCATGGCCAGTGCCCAACCCTAATTTATAAGCTGGGCACCTAAGGGATTGACAACAATAACAATAAACTAAAACAAGAACAATATACTATAATAAAAGTTCTATGACTGTGATCTATCTCTGTCTCTCTCCCTCTCCCTCTCTCTCTTTCTCATCCTGTACTCACCCTTCTCCCTGTGTAAAATGATACAGTGGAGGGCCAGCACTGTAGCTTAGCAGGTAAAGCTGCTGCCTGCAGTGCCGGCATCCCATATGGGTGCCGGTTCAAGTTCTGGCTGCTCCACTTCTGATCCAGCTCTCTGCTATGGCCTGGGAAAGCAGTAGAAGATGGCCCAAGTCCTTGGGCCCCTGTATCTGTGTGGGAGACCTGGAAGAGGCACCTGGCTCCTGGTTTCGGATTGGCTTAGCTCTGGCCTTTGCCGCCATTTGGGGAATAAACCAGTGGATGGAAGACACCTCTCTCTCTCTCTCTCTCCCCCCCTCTCAAGTAAATAAATAAATAATCTTTTAAAAATAAAAAAAAATACGATGCCTAGGTGATGAGATGAGGTGAGGTGAGTGATGTAGGCATTGTGACACAGCATGGGGCTACTACCTAAAGGTTATTTGACCACAAGACGTCTGATGCCATGCAGTCAGTCTGACAAGCGAGTGACCCAGAGATGTGTACAGTGTGCGTGTGCTGAAAAAGGCTGACTTACTCCTGGCGTGGCGCCGATTTCATCACGCTCCTCTGAACGGGGCACCA